GAGACCATCGCAGCAGTCGATCGTTGTAAAAACGCTCGTGAAGGATTCTTTAAACTTTCTCTTGAATCAGTGAACTGTGAAACTTCTGTCTGGTGACTTTTTGCACGAGCTTCATCGAAGAGTGGAAACTTTTTGTGTGACTTTATTTTTTTATTTTTAACTCCGGATGATTTACCGTCAACTGTGTGGAGCAGGTGAAGAAGATCAACAAGCATTCAGGTAGCATCAGATTTACCATCATGTTGTGTGAATTATGTCGTTCAGACATTCAACATCTAGAGATGTGTTCACATGAACATTGCTGTTCATTGTTGGACAAACGGGCTACTTTCAGTGCGCTCTATACTCTTAAAGCTATTTGTGTCGGTTTTAAAGGAGCAGAGGAAGTGTCCGATGTCAAAGGATGTTATTCTGGATATTTAAGCACTTTTTGTGTGCAGGTTAAAGTGTTTATAATGTTCATTTATGTCCCTGAACGCATCCTGAAGTGTGTGTGAATCTGTTCTTAAAGGTTTAGATACATGAAATACTTCATATGGATGTTTATCTGGTGAGTGCAAGTAGAAGCATTATTTGTTGGTGAATTAAATGCATCACCATAGATCTGCAGTCAGATGTGCAGGAGATGCACATGTGTGTGTTTTTTATAAAAGCTACTAAAACAGAGCTAAATAGATCAAATATAACAGACGAGATAGATTTATTATTGATAACGACAACATGCTCAGCGGGTCTTAAGTGTTCTAGAAGACCCTAAAGGGCAGAAATGAGCCGTGACGTCTCTATATCCTCCGTTACCATGTTGCGTTTAAGTACCGATCAGAACAACAAACACATGCATGATAGATGTTAACGCCTCTGTGGCCCTTTAAGAACATTGTATTGATTTCTGTGTGATTGCATTAACACAAACACGTTTCTCAGGTTCCATTATAGTAACTGTTGACGAGCTTTCCATCACATCACGTGATCTTTTTAGCCGGTTTGTGTTTCTCATTTTTACAAGCCATGCTGATGAAAACCATGTGACGTGATTGAAAGCTCCACAGCAGCTATATTAAAGGCAGGGTTGGTAATCTTCGTCAAAAACATTTTCATCTTTTGTTTTGTTGAGATTCTGTTTACATGTTTGTTTGTTTTCTTGGGATGATTCATTTAGTCGAGCTGTTGTTTTTGTCTCGTGTACTTTCACAAAGAACGTAAATATTTAGCGGTGAAAAAGCTAATTGTGTTTTGCAGCTGACGGTGCTAACAGCGCTAACAGCGCTAACAGTGTTAACATTAGGGTGTAAAAATAGCCTCGAGTCCATTTTATTCATTGTTTTGGTTTGTGTGGTTTTATTTTATTTATGTTTTATTTATTCAAGATATTTCTTTTCAATTATAATGTCTGAATATCATGAAGAATTAAAAGTTCACTGCTCTTTGAAAGGGTGTAATCGCATTAATATGCTATTATGTGATCATTATATCAGTGGCATAAAATTGCAATAATATTGATTATTGCAATTATTTCTGGAACAATTTATTGTCCAACATAGTTTTGAAAATGTGAAGTACCTGCCTGCATTTATCCGTCACAAAACCACTTAGAAAAGCATCCTGGTCTGGTTTTAAATAAGTTCTCTAGCAGCGTCATGTGACACGGCGTCACTCGACATAATGTCGTCAGGCCCCCCGAGTGAAAGTCCTCTGTTTTACTTCTCGCTCTTTAATCACTACGTCCGTCACTCTGAGAGTCGAACAATGATGGATTTACACATGAAGCCCGGTGCGACTCATACAGACACTAATGGCCAAACGTCTGTATTTGACGCCTGGGAGTGAGAACTTGGTTTAGTTCAGGGCCTAAAGTAGTCGAGGAATCAGAGGTTTTATCTCTTTGAAGGAAATTCCTCAGTTTGACATCAAAGTCTTTAGTTCTTTAGGTCGTCTACATGAAGCTTGTGAGATATTTGGAGAGCCAAACTGCCGTTGTGTTTTTTCTTTTTTTTTGTGTGTGTGTTCCTACCTTCAGCTTGCAGAAATTGCAAACATGCCATAAAACATTTGGTCCTTGAGCTTTCCATGGTAACAGATGAGGAAATAACTTTGTTTGGAAGACCTGAAATCTAGAGATGAACACCGATAACTGCGTGCGTGATTGGAGGTCACGCCCCGAATGAAAACAAACATATTAGCAGTGAATTATAATCTACGGAGGGAACGACAGTACAGCCACAAAACCAAAGGGACCAACCAACTCACGGAGAACCAGAAAAGGTGGATTTCTTTGTTCCAGAAAAGATTTTGAGTCACAGGAAGTTAGAAAGACCGAACGTCCGCCACCACACTCCCATCGATTTGGCCCAGAGACTCACTCTACTTTAGGGTTAATGCACTTTCACCACATCGATTCTGTTGTAATCACAATGTACAGAAGCAATATTTGTCGACCGATTCCATTAATGATTAACGTCAGAGTTGGGAAGAGTCCATAGTTTGACATTCCTCTGATATTTTAGGTGGCTGCCGAGGTCTCTGAGCTTTTCTGACTCTTTCCAGCTCAGTCAACAGTCAAGTCATTCTCCGTGTACACATCATGATGAAGGTTTGAATACCACGTGTTTCTGTGTGTACTGACTCACATAGGTGTAATATTTGCTTTATTGGGTGTAGACAATAGTATCATAATGCAGCATTGGTGACGTATTTAAGTCTTTGTTAAGACCTGTCCACATCCAAAGGTTCTCAGACTGTCACTGTTCCTCCGTCTGTACAGGTGCCGTCAGGATCCCAGAACAACTCGTCCAAACTGAGCTCTGGTCTCTCCCAGTCACCATGGCTACTAACAGCACCCCTCAGGGTTGCGGCCCGAACCTGGACTCCCTCTATTACAACCTGTGTGACCTTAACGCCGCGTGGGGCATCGTGCTGGAGGCCTTCGCGGCGGCCGGCATCGTCTTCTCCTTTGTGCTTTTCATCTCGCTGCTGGCCAGCGTGCCCTTCACGCGGGACAAGAACCGCAAGAGCTCGGTGGCGCTCCACGCCTGCTTCCTGGTCTTCACAGCCGGTCTCTTCTGCCTGACCTTCGCCTTCATCGTGGGAAAGGACTTCTCCACGTGCGCCTCGCGGAGGTTCCTCTTCGGCGTGCTGTTCGGCGGCTGCTTCGCCTGCCTCCTGGTGCAGTGTGTGAGGCTGAACATCCTCGCCCGGCAGAACAGCGGGCCCCGGGTTTGGGTCTTGTGTCTGGTGGCGGCGGGTCTGTGGCTGGTGGAGGTGGTCATCAACACCGAGTGGCTGATCATCACGGTGGTGCGCTACCCGTGGGGGCCGCTCAACGCCACGGCCGAAACCGGCAGAGCCACGGCCACGCCTTGCAACGTCGCCAACGAGGACTTCGTCATGGCGCTGATCTACGTGATGACCCTGATCCTGGCCGTGGTGGTGGCGAGTCTCGCCATCATGGCGGGCAAACACAACCAGTGGAAGAAGGATGGCGCCTTCATCCTTCTGACCAGCGTGGTCTCTGTGGGTATTTGGGTGGCGTGGATCGTCATGTACGTCTACGGGAACGAGAGGAGAGGGGGGCCCACGTGGGACGACCCCACCTTGTCCATCGCCTTGGTGGCGAACGCGTGGGCCTTCCTCGTCCTCTACACGATCCCTGACATCTGCACCTTGAGCGGCGATGACGAGATCCCACAGAGCTTCGGGGAAGACCTGTACCCGAACCGAGGAGTCGGCTACGAGACGATCCTGAAGGAGCAGACCTCCCAGAACATGTTCATGGAAAATAAGGCGTTCTCTATGGACGAGCCCAAACCAGGTGTGTAGCTGCTTATTTCACCTTTTAATCTGTTTAAAGTGCAGTTTTTGTTAACAGAGCTCAAGCCTCCATTTCATTCATTGTTTCAGTTGTGTGATTTTATTTCATTCATGTTTTTTTCACCTTTCAATAATATCAAGAAGAATTGAGAGCTCACCGCTTTTTAAAAGGGTGTACTTGCATTATTGTGCTATTATATTATCGTTGTCATTATATTATCATTATATCAGTGGCATAAAAGGGCAATAACATTGATTATCGCAATTATTTCAGGAACAATATATCACCCAACATAAGTGGTTATCGTGACGGGTTTATTTGGGCTACTGTTTGTAAATGTTAATGATTTTAACTTTGTATTCTCTCAGGTATGACATCACTCTGGTCTTATGCAAAGCGTTGTCAGGTCCTTTTATTCCCTGTAAAGCAAATATGTGCCTGGTCAACAGATAGTTTGTGTAGTTTGTGAGGTAACGACTAGGAGGAGGTCACAAACATTCACTTTGCACAGTTTTACACAATCTCCTCCCCGACTACACTTCACTCTCACTGGAAGTTCCTTAAAATGACATATTGCATCATATTTCTGATTTGTCTGGGAACGTTGAATCGTTCGTGTCGTCTTCTGTCGCTGCAGTGACTGATTGTGTTACAATTTGCTCATCACAGAACACACAGTGACCTTGCACCGATGAACACTGAGTTCAAAGCCCTCACAAACCTGAAAACAGAGCGATTACCCTGCAGAATCCTCAAAAGGCTGATTTGCATCGATGTGATGATCCCACAGAACCCGAGACGCTCTCGTCTGAGTCCTGATCTGATGCGGTAAAAAGGACCAGAACACAGAGTCTGTCTCCTCTCAGGTTAATCACAGACGGTGAGGTGGACGGTGTTGTGTGGCTGCTAATGTCCTCGAGGGTTACAGAGAGTTCTTTCACCAGTCTGTCAGCTCGAGTCACCGCGGTGGAACATAACTGTTTGTATTCAAGTGTTTACATTCTGGGAGAATGTTTGAAGCTTTTTCTCTGCAATGTTTGAGAAAGGAAATCACGCTTTGTACCCGGCCACGTTTATGGAACAATAGAAGAGTGTTTGTTTAAAGATTCAGCTTCGATGTTCAACATCAGATAAATGTGGACGATGTGCAGAACAATCTTCACTTTTTCACTCATTCAAATGACTTGAAGACACAGAGAGATGCAGCGAGGACGTATTTCTGTAGTCCAACAGGAAGTTAGTGTCACACTGGTCCAGTTCGATTGGATTTTGGATTATTGCAGAAAATAATCTCTAAACGTTAATGATTCTTACAGGTGTTGTTCATCAAGATAATCTTCACTAATGAACTCCACTTTTATGATGTTTGAAGTGTAAAGTGAAAAGCTAACATCTAACCAAAAACACATGTAAGAAACACATTGACTTAGAGACGAGGGAACGGGAAGTGAACAGATTCTGACTCATTTCTGTATTTTAGGATTCATTGTATCATCTAAAGAGTTTAGATTCATTTAAAACAAGAGTTTCATTGTCTTTCTCTTTCTTTCCATCCTTTGTTTTTTATTTCTTATTTTTTTCCTCCCTTCTTCCTCCCAGTTCTTATATTCTCCAACATGCAATCTGAAAGCAAACTCCCCAAAGCTCGAGATGTGTTTGTTAAGATTATTATCATTTGAATTCAATGCTAAATGCTAAATGCTGTACGCACAGCTGTTGTGTGATGTCACAACTCTCAGATCTGGTGCAGCAACATGTTGACTTCATCCTTCATCATTGACTCCCACAGATGGTTCACTTCTTCTCTCTGCATTGTGAGCTACATGTGTGACTACATGTAGGACCGTCAGAGTTTCAGTGAGTTATTCAGAGGCAGCGTGTCGTCTGGATCATTCCTGTTAATGAGCGTCCCTATCACCAACACTCCCACTCTTGATTCCCACCAGAAGCATCACGCCTTGTGTTTGCATCGTCTCCACAGCAACTGAGGCGTGGCGACAGTTTCATCCAACGTCGGGAGCTTCAACAAGAGCGACGAAGTCGTCTCTCACATCCATTCCTCTGGGTGTTGATTCTGCTGATGAAGTATCTTGAGGGATTGTTGTGTACAGATACGGAACGAGGCCCTAAAGATGTCCCTCAGAGGGCTTATGATCAAGAGAGAAGTAGAGTCATCTTCTCATAGACTTCTATACAACCAGAGGAGTCGCCCCCTGCTGGTCATTAGAGAGAATGCAGCTTTAACACGTGAAGCTTTGACTTCACTCTTCAGAACTGGACTTTTTCGCCCGGTAGGCAGTTTGTTGCTGTTTGTAGCACAGTTAGCACTTTATCATATCAAATGCAACTACATTTGTAAAAGTGACAAGTGAAAAAAGCTAACCACACTAAGCCATATTTAGCCATATTTGTCTTAAACAGAGCAAGAATACACTTGGATATTTCCATCATTTTTCAGTTTTTTTCTCATCAATTCCTTACACAACGAACCCTTTATCTATTATATTTATTCTATATATTATAATAAATATGACCACGGTCACATTGTGTGATTTTATTCTCCTGTCTCCTGTTTCCCTCCCCATGTGTCATGTTTGGTTTTACTTCCTGTATTTTGTGTGCTTTCGTCGCATTAGTTAATTAGTCCCTTGTGTCTTTAGTCGTGGTGCTCCCCTGTCTTTCAGTTAGGAAGTCCAGCCCGTGAGAGTCAGTTAGAGTTAGTCTCTAGCAGTTTTGTGTTGCTGGTTTGTTTCCTGGAACTGTGCAGATATTATGGAAACTACATCTTTTTGGTTTAACTAAGGGATTTTATTTTGACACGTCCTTGGTCGCCTATAGGTTGTAATCAGCTGTGACTGTTGTGAATCAAAGCTGAGGCTTGTTGAGGGGGACGAATGAATAACGTGTGTTGTCCCCGTCTGTCCATCACAGCGTCCAAGCCGGTGTCTCCGTACAGCGGCTACACCGGGCAGCTGCGTGGGTCCGTCTACCAGCCCACTGAGCTGGCTCTCATCAGCAAAGCAGTGGCAAATGTGAGTATTTGTTCACAGAGACACACATTTGAACGTGGCTTAGACAGCGTATACATAGAGCTGGTTCACTCTCTTATGTCCGGAGGTGGGAAAATGATTATTGAAATAAAGAACAGTTTGAGGAAACAGTCAAAACAAATGTGACAGTGAAGGTTAACTGTGTGAACAGGGTTCAGGCATTATATGTGCTGATTTGAATGAAAACAAGATAAAAGGATGTTGGTCAGAACCAGATTATATTTTGACATCTATTATATGATAAATTATAGTTTTAATTGTCTTAATAGTTGGAGATGTTCCAATTCATTTTTTTCCTTCCCAATACCGAGTAGTGATCTGATACCAGTCCGTTAAAAACAATACAATAAAGGACGATCTGTCAATCTTTTTGAATATGATGAAGCAGTGTACATGGAGCTCTATAAATATAATAATAATAATAAATTAACTTAACTTTATTTATTAGCATTTTTCAAAAGTAGAGCGAAGTAATGAAAGATATGTGAATAAGAGACAAATCAATTAGCAAAGCAGCGAATACATTTACAAATGTGAATATGAACAATAAAACGTATTAAAACAAGCAGACAAAACAGTAAAAAATATGAGTGAAAACTAAATAAACCATTTTTTAAAAAGCATTGGAATTAAAAGAAGCTTTGAGGAGTGATTTCAAATGGAGCAAAGAGACAAATCATGGACATGCACGTGAGCAAAAAGGGGGCAAAGATAGATCACGTTTTTGGACTCTGAGGTTCTTAAGTTCTGGTAAACGGTTTGTGGAGGTCTCTCCAAAGAGCCCCCCCCCCCCTCATTTATTGGATGTTTGTGTCATGGAGCCGATGTGCAGCACCCTCCGGAGGTCACCTACGACATCATCATCCCCAGAGCGTCCACCCACTCAGCAGCCAACAGCGGGAGCAGCACGCCGTCGACACACGCCGACGCCGGTGCCGCCGCTCACACTCAGACCAACGGGAACAGCGTAGGTCGCCTCCTCGCTCCTCGCTCCTCGACTCCTTCTGTCCCCCCCGACCTCTCGGCTCCTGCTGTATCCATGGCAACTTCTTCTACAGGTTGACCATGAATCACTTCTTTGTCTGTTTTTTTTTTCTTCTTTCATACCTGCTGGAGCTCTCTGGTGTTTCACCTCGTCTGGACTCAGTTCACTCTGTTCTTCCATCTCTTCAGTGGAGAAGAAATGTTGGTGAGACAGGGTTTGATTTGACATGATTTGTCTCTTTCTGGTCTTATTCTTTTCCATATTTCTTTGTACTTAACATGTCTCTTCTAAATGTCAGATCTTGAGTATGAAACGCTCCCCTCGAGTCTTTAAAGGTGTTTCTGAAGAGGCTGCCTGTAGTCAGTTGGATTGTTACGAAGTTACAAAGTCCCGCCTGTGAAACACGTCCTTGTTCGCCTACAGATTTGATTCTGCTGTGACTGTGAATCAAAGCTGCTGTCAGAGCCCCCCCTCTAGTGTAAACTGTTATCATGTAAAGTCTCATTAACTGCTGTTTGATCAACCATCTCTCTTCTTCTGCAGGGGAACGGTCTTCATAGGATGTCCCAGTGGTGAACGCGCTGACGCTCTCAACACCTCGTCACATTAACTTCTAGTCTTTTCGTTTGCTCTCGCTGACTGTGTGTCTGCTGGCCGGCTAAGCTGGTTCTAAGAGGATCAGACATGTGGAGCTAAAACAGTGGGTCCCC